ATGAGTCTATATTATATCATTAGATTATAAACAGCCCTGGGCAAAGTGGGCAACTGCCCAGGGGTCCTAAAAGCTTCTTGGATATCACAGAAGTAGCTACTGCAAGGCTGCAGCCAGCAATTATTTTCATTTTCAATACTTCTGACAATTAGTTTTTTTGATAATCAATCGATTGTTCAGTGTATAAAAAGTCATAAAATAGGTAAAAATGTATGTTATTATTCCCTGTTCCCATTTTGAAAATTGTGGGTACTGATAAAAAATGTTTCAATCTATTAGCTGTAAATGAGCAGCCAGTGACCGGTCATACAGAAAGATAATTTTGTTTTCAGAAAACCAGAATTAGTTAATACATTTATTTTCCTTAAACAGCTCTGGTTCACATGATGAATATTTCTGTCTTTATCAATAAGTCAGACAAAAATGAGACCAAACTTAGCATCAGGTTTACTCTCCATGGAGATCTCATTTAAAAAAATATATATATTTCTGATGTTTTGAAAATTAACTATGCTGGTCTATTCTGTGCACATGACAACTTTTGTGTCTGTCCATCCTGAAAGAGAGATCCCTCCTCTGTTGCTCTCTGAGGTTTCTTCCCGTTTTCCATTATATGGTTCCTTATCCAATTCAAGGGTCTAAGGATGAAGGTGTCATGCAGATACAAATTTCTGATATGTCACGCTGGGCTATATAATCAAAATGTGTTAAAATTGTTTTATCTCACACTACTATGTTAAATGTAACTTGTTGGCCTGCTTGTGGTTCTGTTACCCCCTATCTACTTGACTTTTATGCTTTTATTTTGAAATCAAATTCCACGCAGTTCGGGTGTAACGCTGTCTAACTTTGGCTGGTTTGACGCAGCTCTGCTCAGCCCAGGCGCGCCGTTGCTCACACCACTCTCCCATTCCCACTTTTAGTAACTCGGCACTCCCTCTAGAGGTGAAGCGGTGTCTGCAGTGAGCCCGGTCGGTCAAACACCACGAGCTGTGATCTCCAGCAGGACTCCCAGAGGAAAGAAAAAAACAGTGATGTAGAGGAAGGTGAAGCCAACTTACAACTTTAGTTTTTTTTAAAATCTTTTTTAGAGTTCATCAACCTTTTAGCCATGGCTGCATTAACTCCCTGAGGAATCCAAAAAATATGCTGTTGGGCCCACACTGACATTCACTACATGGTATTTCCCCAGGCACCCAGAAACCAGCCAGTACTTCAGAGCTGAAATGATTGGCTGATTAACCGATTAGTTGATTGACACAAGATGAATTGGCAACAATTTTGATTGAAAAATGAAATATTTAAGTTATTCTTCGGCAAACGTGGCAAAATTTCTCAAGTACCAGTCTCTCAAATGTGAATATTTGTGAATTATGTTCACCTGAGCTTTGGGGAAAACATACCTTTTTCACCATTTTCTGACTTTTATAAACTCAAGAATAAATTGATTATTATTAATGAATTGGTCGCAGGTTTACAGTACTTCTGCGATGGAATAATACTGCCTTGCCTGAGGTTTTCTGTGTGATAGTTACTTGACAGAAAAAACAAAAGCAGTTTGATAAAAAAAATTTAAAAAAAACTTGAGAATTACAAATGAGCAACTAAAACAGTTCAGATCTTAAAACGAGAAATTCACACAAAGTCCTTCTATATTATATGGATTAAACCTGGAATTTTTGCCTCTACCCACCTCCTTTATTACACTGTTTTACATTGATGTGCATTAACATCTTCTTAGAATACACTGTAAAAACTACATATATATTTATTAATTGATTGATTTAAAATAATCTTTTAATAATCAACCTGAAAAATGTGCAGAGGGTGTTGCAGTATTTTGCAGTACAGAGCACAGCCTCCAGGGACAAAGTAAACCACTATACTGCTCATGAAGCTTATTGCTGTGAGCTCACAATCCACTGAATTCTTGGAATTGAACCAGACTCATTACAGGGTCAGGTTTCTAAGAACTATCTACCGATTTATTGCCAGTGTGTGAACTAAATCAGACATGATACAGCCGAGTTAACAAAAGGTTACAGGTGATAAGGGCCCTGTCAAAACTGTAAGTGTAAACAAACAGAAATGAACTGGTTACAGTGGATGGGCACAACTAGCAAAAATAGATAGGCTAACAGTCTACAGGCTGTAAGCTGGAAGATAATGACTCAAACTATGTAAAGCCCACAATCATCTTTTCAAGTTACTACTACAATTAGACATATCTTTTATGAAGTAATCCTAGATAAGAGTTTGATATTGTAACATAATATCAACCCATGTTGTTGGTGTGGTCTGGCTCACATTTAGTTCCTCTATTATATTACTGTACAAATACCACCGTGTGTGAAGTCTCAAGTTAAAGGCAAGGTGCAAACTGCCCTGGGGCCCCAACACCCCCAGGTTCACCGCATGTCATTTGGTTTTAGGTAATTTATTAGTTGCAGATTTGTTTGAGAATTTGCACCACTTCTATGCAAAATAGATTGATTTTGCATTATTACAGAATTTTGTGATTCTGTCCTGTAAAAACACCCTGTGTCAAAATCTGGTTTTAATCATTTCATTATTTTAGTCTTAATTGTGCTTGTACTTGTTCCTACACAAAGTTGTTTTAAATAATATTAGCACAACCTGACATACAGGTGGTTCTAGCACAGGAGCAGTGGTTGGTTTCTGAGTCTCTGGGCGTGATGCTGACATGACATATTTTAGTTTTTTTTTTTTTTGTCTATTTTATTGGTTTGATCAATTAATTTCATTATATTTCTGTATCTTGTGTGAATTGGTCTGAGATTGTTTCATTGTTTACATCTGCACTGTCTGACTATCAGCTTGTTAGTCTACAGAACACTTTGAAATACACTGTCCTGTATGAAAGGTGCTATACAAATAAAGTTTGATTGATTGATTGATTGATTTGGCTCTCATAATAGTTTAATTGTCAATAAATACTATAACTGGAAAACAAGTCTACTACAAGATTGATTCAAAATATGCTTTTAAGTGTATAACAGTTAACATTTATATTTTAGTTAAAATTTTGATGTACAAGGTTGTATTTTTAAAATGTGTTTAAATACTTTATTAGATCTGTTTATGTAAAAGAAAGATCCATGCACTGTTAGCTAGATTAAATTCAACTCAGGATATTCAGGACAACTATAAAATGAATAATAGAGTAGTAATACTGCCTTACAAAATAATTTTGTGTCAAAACCAAACACAACATGAGTAAATGTCTGGTTCTGATTGGGCAGGGGGTTAGTGTTACTGTAGTCATTTTAGTGTTAAGCATGAACTACACATCTGGAATAAAGATTTGGCTTTTGGAGGAACTTAGTGCAACAATTAAGGTTTATGTTTTCAACAGTATTTGGTCTTTTGTGTCTGAATAGCAAGCTGTGTCAGAGGAATAAAGCAGGACACTGTTTTAAGATACTGCAGAAACAACTTAAGTTACAATCAGAATTGAAATAAAAAGTGGACCTCAAATGGAGTCCTATTACACACAGACACATGTTAGGAATACACCATTGGCCAGCAGACAAAATATCATTCCTATGGCAGTAAGGCAAAATAAACATCTGGTAAATGGATTTGAAGAATTGCCCATCATATTTTTTTTTTTCTTTTTTTAACTAATGAATAAATGAAGAGCGAGTGTACAAGCTGGTGGCAGAAAACAAAAGCAGTGACGTGACCAATAGAGAAGGAAAACTCACTGAGGGCATCTAGTGGGCAAATATGTCCTTAATGGTTCTGGAAAATTAAGATGGAATTATGCCTCTCCAGGTTGCACGTAGGCAAAAGTGCATGGGAATATGATAAATTGGCTGTTTATTTTATACTTGTATGTTGACAATCAACACACAACTTTCTGTATCAAGTCTACACCCCACTCTCCTGGTTCCTGTCATTTCAGGGTAATGCCAGTTTTCCATGTTGTTTCCTATAGTCTGTACAGTATCCTGCAGTAATTTGTCTGCGGGCCTATTGATCTGTCAGAAGCTTTGGATCAGATTCAGACAGCCTCTTCAGTGTAAAGTGTGTTACTATCATGAGTGACGACTGTGCTGTCAGTGTAACCGTCTTCTAACTATGCTGTCTTTATACTGCCATACTGTTTCACTGGTAATAACGTCATGAAGCTCTCAAGATACAACAGCGGCCCTGAGAGCTTAGAACACTGCAACTTCAGAAAACATGTAAATGACAAAACAAGCAAACTCAGAATATTTTCATCAACTTGACAACACAAACATGTTGCAAATTTTCACATCACAACCAAATACACAAACAAGCTGCAAATAGCACAGACAACAACGGAAGTGTTTTCAGGGGACACTAAACAGTGATGAACCTGTGTTGAAGGCTGAGACGCACTTGCATGGCTGTATTATAATACATCCATGCACACTTGTTGTTCAGTGCTTTTAACTTCAAAAGTCACAAACCATTGAACAACAAAGGCGTTTGCAGCGCATTTGTATATTTGGTTGTGTTGTTGAGTATCTGCAGCAACATGTGTTGTCAAATTGATGATGTTTTCTGAATTTGCTTGTGTTTTGTCTATTTATGTGTTTTCTTAAGTTGCAATGGGTTGAGGGCCACAACAGGGGCCCAACAACAATTTTTTTGCCCTGGAGCCCCCTAGGAGGTAATTCCGGCTGTGCTTACCAAAAAGTGGTACAAAAAATGTTTCAGCACACCCCGAGCTCCCCCACTGTACATTATGAATTCAAAGATCCATATAATTTGACTGTGGTTTCAAGTGTTTGAATCCTTTAACAAACAACTGTTATACACAGATGTGTTTGTACAAAGCAATGCACTTCTTTAAAAAAAAAAAGAAAAAAAAGATAAAAAGAAAGATGCAAACTGTATGCCTACATGGATTTAATTTGTGCCGGTTAAGCCAACCTTGACACCCCCGGCAGAGACACACAGTTAGTACAGACCTGTACGGTTGCTCGAGCGATGACGCTTCAATCTTAACGGTTTATTTTAGCTCCGGTATTTTTCTTGTTCGCTTTACATTTTCCCCGATGTAACACACATTTTGTTTATTGAGCTACAGCCTTCCTGTCAGCTGAATGTGGATATTAATCGGCTTCTCAGTGTATTTTCGCTCCTTCATGCCGCTTCTTCCGCTGTCTTTTACTGCATATAGATGTATTTTGTATCCCGTGTTTCCTCCAGTAACCCATGTCTGTGTGCATCCCGCCTCCCTGCGCTCTCAATAGATGGTGCAAGTCAAAATGTCCAAATCGCCCGTAGACCCTCTGTCTGCTGTGGAAACCGGCTCTCAGTCGCACTATTTTCAGGTAAATAAATCACACTTCAGTCGTTTATTCACACATCGATCACCGAGGAGAGTGTGGTGGGAAAAAAATGGTCAGTTATCGTCTTTCCTACTTGTTGTTGAAATTGAGGCGTCGCGTTTTGGCAGCGAGCTACTTTTTCTTTTTTTTTTTTCTTTTTTTAATACCACCGCCTTCACTGAAACTGCAGATTGATGCTTGATCGTTGAAAAAAAATCCAGGGAGTGCGATTATAAAGTGATTATTATGCTTTTAATGCACAAACAGAATCAGGCTGAATCCTTCTCAGATCTTGATGCATTTGCTGTTTGAGATCAGGCCTTTTGTGCATTCTGTATTGATGTTTTATTATTTATTTCCATTTCATTTCCTGCAACACTGAATCCACACTAATGTAGGGAAACCAGCACACACTAGTAACCTTATGGGAATTGTATGCTGCTTTTTATTGGCGTAAAGGTGCATGACTGTAACTCACCTGTAGCCTGAATCTACAGGGCCTGCCAGCTCTCACCGCAACATCCAAGCTTTCTTATTAATGTGCTGTGTTAAAGGAGGCTTGAGGAAAACTGTCTCCTGCGTTACACTGACCAGTATTTACGCTTTTATTTTGTCAGAATTAAAATTAAAGCAAAATCAGCATAGACCAGCTAGGTTCATGTTATCTATCTATCTATGTAATAGACAGATAGATGGATAGTATCCATGTGGTTGGTTTAACCAACAGCCAAGGTAAAAAAATTGTTGTTGAGCCCTTACTGACAAACAATGGGGCACCTAAACAGAAGAAAATTACATATTATATTTCGATCCACATTTTCTGTATGTGAAGCAGTTTGACAAAACAAAACTGGACACAGAAGTTTAAACTAAAACAACAGAGTTCCTCAATAAGAAAAGGACCACAAGATGGAGGATTGAGGACCTGTCGGAATTGATCTATCTATCTATGATGTGCTTCTCTTTCATCACAGCTGCCCAGGAAGTTGCCTAAACGGAAGAGCCGCTTCAAACGCTCAGATGGCAGCACGTCTTCTGACACAACATCCAGCTTCATCAAACGGCAGGTAAAAAGCGTTTAGAACAAGTTCTTTTCATTCTTTTTCCTTATTTATGCATGCATTGTTTGCTACGTTATGTTCTGGTATTAGGTTATCTCACTGATTTGTATTGGGAGAAAAACACAGGCCATCCCGTGCTCTAAGGTCTAAATGAAGCTATAGTGGTTTGAAGTTGCGTTTTAGTCAGAAGCGGCCTCTGTGCATTATTCTGTTGGCATCAGTACAGCACCTCTAGTTTTTTACAGATATATTCTGTTGGTGGGGAGTCCAGGTTGCTCTTTTGGGCACAAAAATAAATTTGCAGTTCTGTCTTTATTATCTTGGCATCCAGACCATTTCTGCTCTGCATCTTCATCTCCACTGAGCTGTCTCCTCAGTTGCAGTTGTTGTTTAGCACAGTAGATGGCAGCAAAATGCTAGAAAGTGGAGGTGTGTTACATCAAAACCCCAACACAATTTATAATTAATGTTTATAGGTCATGCACGTGCAGAGGACGCGGATGGATATTTGGTGTTATTTAAGACGATCTGTGCGACTGAAAAAAGGAAAAAAAAAAAAGCAGAAGAGATTCCCTCATGCTGTTACTGCGTGGCTGTTATGAATCATACCCTCTCATCTAGATCAGCTCATCTGGTGGTGTATAGTGTTGTTTCTGAAGATGTATTTGATTTCTTTTTTTGGTGTCAGTGTAAAAGCAGAGGTGGTTTCTCAGAGTCCAGCAGAGGGGAGAACTTGATCCCTGTAGAAATCAGGTTTTGAGGAGCCGAGAAGTTTCACCAAGCTCATCCCAAACCACTAGATCCCAGAGGTTTGTGAGCCTCGATACATCAAAGAGGGAAAGTCAGGAGTTGGGAAGGATTCAGATACCCGCTCTTAAAAGAAGCCTCATGTACTAATGACAGAAACTACAAGGCTCTCTATATTCCTGCTGGCTTTCACACCTTCTAAAGAATACAGCATGTCTCCAGTATCCATTTTGTCCGGATTTAGGATAAATAAAGTATTTGCAGCTTTTCTTTGTCATAAATGATTGTAAACTTAAAACCTTTGGGTTGAATACAGTCGTGGAAGAAGTTCTCAGATCATTTCTTTAAGTTAAAGTACCATTACCATATAGAAATACTTGAAAGGTAAAAGTACATAAGTATTACCAACTATACTTTAAGTTCTATAAGTAAGTACTGATAATGTAGAATGAGCTATTTCAGAATAATGAATATTATATTGTTGGATTACAATTACTGATGTGCACATCACTTTAATGTTGCAGCTGGTAAATTACCTTATATACTTCTAGGCGGCTTGTTAATCAATAAAGGCTTCAATAAAATCTTATCTTAACCTAAAATAATACATCACATATTATTTTTGTTATTTGTATGAATCTGCAAAGTAACTAGTAACTTTTAAAGTTATCAACTAAATGTAAAGGTGTAGAAAGTACAATATTTAGCTCAGAGTTGTCATGGCACAGAAGTGTAAAGTAGCAAACAGTTAAGTATTTGAGTTAATGTACTTTGTGAACTTTCTTTTTGGTTCCAGATTGTTGGTCTAACAAAACCAGCAATTTAAAGACGTTTCAGTGGACTTAGGAAACTGTGATGGATATCTTTCATTATTTCTGAGTTTTTGTAGACCTAACAATGAATCTATATTGGAGAAAGTAATCAGCAGATCAATTGATAATGAAAATAATTTTTAGTTCATGTTAAGCTGTCTGAACTAATTCAACTAAATCCAACTAAAACTCTAAAGAGTAGAAGTTGAAATGAATCTTCAAAAAAAGAAAAAGTAATGCTGAAACCATTAGTTGATTAACTGATGTTCTTCAGGAAATTCACTTTTGATAATCGATTAATCTCTTAAAGTGAGAATGTCATATTAGAAAGAAGAAATAACAATATTCCTCTTACGAATAAAAAAAGTAAACTCAAGCAAACTCCCCCATACTTAATTCACCTCACTCAGATGTTTTGCTGCTCCGTATTTGCTCATGGCTAATGTTAGCTAATGTTTTACTACTGATTAACAGAGCCTGACCAATACAGGATAACAATATATTGGCCAATATTCATTTTATAGCAGAAACACATAATAATAAACAAAGATTTTTTATAAGGATTCATTACATTAATAATTCACAGCTGCATGGGGAGTGTCAGAATCAGCTTTAACCGTCATTTACTCATCTCAGCGTGCACACATTTATTTCTAGTGTTTTTCTGCTGGTCTGTAATATAACCAGTTTTTGCTAATGGTTTACCGACTAACTGCACTGATAGGCAAATCACAGATATATTTAGCACTAAATCATTTAGGCAAAATGAGTATGACACTATACATTAACAGCTCGTAAGAGGTATTTCACTGACAAACCATGGCATTAGCTAGCATCACAACTCACTGATAAACTGCAAGCATGTTTTATAATAGCTCTAACGTGTTTCAGCCACTTAAAAAATGGCCACCAGAAAAAGCCGTTATCAGTTGAAATGTACGCTATATTTTGAATATTTCCACCCCTATTACTTGGCAGTACGTCTTCTCAGCCGTTGAACTACCGCATTCGTACATACTTGGCTCTAGCACACCTACGCCGCACTGTATTATGCTGCACTGTATTATGCCCACCAATGTATTGGTCGTGCTCTATTGTGTAACCGACATTGCTACGATTGACAAATTATGTTTTAGCACTTAACATTAGGATTCAGGTTCAAGAAAAATGCTATCAAACCCCAACCCTAGCGGAAAGTGATGGCCTTAAATTGCTTGAGTTATCTGAACACCAGTCCAAAACATTGAATATATATATATATATATATATAATAATATAAATAAATATAAAATTTGCTTTTGATGGCCTAACTGTTGCACCTGAAAAGAAAGTAGTTGAAACACATTAAAATTCACTTCTAAGATTTTAAGGACAATATGCATGATATTCCTTACTCAAATGAGTCATTTGTTTGACACCTGCAAAGACCATGAAAAATACCTCGGTCTCATGCATAGCACCATTAACGTGAGGGAATGTGGAGCAGTGTGAGAGGCGTTAGTGAGAAGGAAAAAAAGGGCTGAGCAGACATCTTCTTCAGGAGGGGACATTAGTTATCCTGATCGGGGGGGCTTAATGACAATCTCCAGATTCCCTGAGAATATTGCTCGGCTTAAAATATTCATGATGCTCATTTTGACGGCCTTAGGCAATGTGATGTGTGGGTTCACTGTTCACACTAGCACCTCTAGTTTCATTTCAATCATTACCTTCTTTCTGCACGCACAACAGGCATCTCACCCCCCCCCCCCCCCCCCCCCACCCCCCCCCCCCCCCCCCCAACTCGCCCTGCATAGGTGATATGACAAACTGTTTTATGCAGAAGGAGTAAATTTTACAAACAGAGCAGATAGTTTCTCGTCTGTGATAGGGGTGGGGTGTCTATGGAGGAGCAGTGGAGTATGACTCATTTCTGCAGCAGGATACAATAAGCAGTACGCTGCCATAAGTGTGGATGTATGTGTTATATGTAGGACATGAGGCTTTGAAACAGGAGGAGTTCTTAAGAAATCTTGAGCTACGTGTGTGTGTTTATAACATCAGTTTCCTCCCTGTTTCTTCTCTACCTGTGCATGTTGAATTGGACTTGAATGGAAGAATGTGATGTAAATTTAGAAAGGTGGTTTGATCAAGTGACACAAAAGCTGCATTGGTGGTTTTGTGTGTGTGTGTGTGTGGTGTGTGTGTGTGTGTGTGTGTGTGTGTGTGTGTGTGTGTGTGTGTGTGTGTTTGTGTGTGTGTGTGTGTGTTGGAATAAGGAGGGGTAAGAATAGAAAAGAAGGTGTTGCTGCTGTCTGCTCCAGTGCAGGTCGTCCCTGGTTAGGGGATGGGACACAGTACAGTTTGTCTGCATTTTACAGCATGTAGTATATAGAGAGGGAGGGACTGGCAGCAGCAGCATCACCACATTAACTGAGTAAGTACAAATGACTCCCAACACAGTCTGCTTCTCCTTCTCCCTGTCTGAAACTCCTCTGCTCCTGTCTCGCTTTGTTCCATCTTATCATTGCTGCTCCTTTGTCTTATCCTGTCTTCCTCCCTCACCTCACCTCCCTCTCCAACAGCATTTTTTTTTCCTCTCTCATTCTTTCACCTGTTTTACTTTTTGATTGGCGTCATCCTGTGTGCACTCTTCACACTTTCCAGACGAGTCTTGTGATTGATCAATTTGACACACAGTATGCCCAGTCTTGACTTTGATATTGTAGTTACCCCACCGTTAGTGAGTGATTTATTGCATTGTGTATGAGAGAGCTCCGTGCATGTGCAACTTGCTGACACTGAATTATGACTGCACAGTTAATCGAACACTTTTTGAAATTGGATATGTGGCAACTGGATTTCCAAATCGCTGGAGCTTGCAGTTTTTTTTGTTTTTTTCCTCTGAGGGAAAGGTTTTTCAGCCTCCTGAATAATATATTCTGCTGTTGTGCAGAATCTCCTTCCTGCATATAAACCCAGAGAAATTAGATTTTACCATCAGCATGCACCCACTACATTTTACTTTACACAATTTCAAAGAAACATAGTGTGTTTTAGATTTTTGATCCATTTATGTACAAATCATGTCATTTTAACTTTACTACCAACCACTTAAGGCATACAGTAGATTTTTGACTCCTTTCCTGCTGTCCTGGTACCCGCTGTTTTCAGTCATACTCACTAGTGACAATGTTGGTTTGTTGGTTGGTCGACTGCTTTGGTCCAGACCAAAATGTCTCAACTATTGGATGGATTGCCATGAAATTTTGTACAGACTTTCGTGGTCTCTACAGAATGAATTGCATTAACTTTGGTGATTCTTTAAGTATCTATTTAGCACCATCGGCAGGTAATTCTTTCAATTTGTCCACTACTTTATGACCAAATAGAAGTAACTAATAGAACTGAAGAACTAATGATATGATGATTCCGATCAGCCTCAGCAAAGTGAATTCGGATGATGAACATTATAAACATTAAACCTGCATGTTAGCATCCACATGCATACATTTAACTCAAAGCACTGCTGTGGCTAAAGGGGCCAGTATGCTTCCACAGAAGTGCTTTTCAGATGGTTCAACATCTTCAGAAATCCCCTCTTGAAACCAACAATCTAGCTTTCAAGCCGTCTTCGCACAGTGATTGAACAGTGGTGTGGAAGTGAAAAGTAAACAGGACCTGACCTTCTCTCTCAAACTCTGTTTTCATGTTTTACACAACTATTACACAAAACTTTTCATGTATATAAACAAGGGAAGTACTATGAATGTCTTCCGGGAGAGACTGAATGAAAATGTGCACCATTATCTCCATATTTAAATGATTACAGCAATCTCCATCTCTCTCTGACATCTAACTTTTTACCCCAACTATACAATGTTACATTACAGCCATTCAGAACAGCTTTAAAACACTTTTGCATTTCAACATGGTTGAATGATACATTATATGAATTTTAGATATGACTATTTCAATACCTGAACTTGTGTATTGGCTGATATCAAATACTGATCCAATACGGTGGGACTCTCCGGAGTACTCCAGAGTAACATTTTGCTAACGTTACACAATCAACCACAATTCAAATCTTCTTCGCTGCTGTATAACAATAGCTTATACAGGAAGTTGCGCTGTGTAGCCACTGGCAACTACTCTTTTAGAGCGGCGATGAAAAATTGATTTCCAGGAAAATGGTCGGTGCATAGACTTGCATACTCGCCAATATCCAATACCATATTTTAGGTAGTATCACAGGCATTTCCGATACTAGTAACGGTATTGAAACAACTCTAATGAATTTGTTTTTTCTGAGTATAACCCTCCTGTATTAAAAGGATCACAGTCAAAAATGAAAGCTTGATTTATATCACAGTTTACAAATATTATTGATATAACCTAACAACTACTACAACTATAATCAATATTTTATTACTAATGGATCAATTAACTGAAGTTAAAAGAGTTGCTTGTACTCTACTGAGCCCACATAGATCACTGGATTCTGTAGTTCGCCCACAGCACTATGGAGCAATTTAACCTCTTTCAACTCATTGTTTTGGATTTCTTGCCTGCAACGTTACTGTTCTGATTTACTCTCACCACTCTCATTGTGTTGTTTCCAGAAGTAGCTGGCAGCTGTCATCAGTGACAAAGCTCTGTTAAACAGACTGTAGGCTATCTGCCCACCACCAAACAGCAAACACACAGCACACAGTTAGTGACTATCTGGTGAACATGGTGGTTCATAGTAGAGTGAATATCAGATCTCTTGACTTGGATTTGTCAAGTGGACACAAACACGACCCTAATTTAAATGAGTCACTCATATCAACTTAAGGTGATATGTCAACATTGTGTTCACACTGTTGCGCTGTCCCCAAGCAACCAAAAAAAACAAAAACTTTTTTCTTTTTTTTCCTTTTTAAAAAAAAAAAAAATCAATCAATTAATGCCGGTTTAATAACATAAAGAAACATTAATGACAGTTTTATTTGTTGTCTAGTGTTGTTATTCTGTGTGATAAAAGACCTGCAATTGATTTGAGAGAAAGACTGAAAGATTCCAATCCTGAATTTTGATTTTTGGTCTTGTGGTTTTGCTGACATTTTGATCAATGACTGTTGCTTTAGAGTTGCTCTTTGATATACTTTACTATGGCTGACCAGTTAATTAACCTACAATTTAAGAACAGATGGCCAATGGCGAAGACATCTCTACATGTCTTGCCAAAAGAAAATTAGAACACATTTGAATGTAAATTATTAAAACACTGAACAACGTAGCAGTAAAATCATGATAAAATTAGTGTAGAAATCCCCTGCTGTTCTTTCCCTAGACTGTAGGATGACTTGGCCCTCCTGAGAACTCGACTAGCTGGATGACACACTTCCCCGTCAGCCCCTCCCTGTGGAGTTGAGGCCATCAGTGTTGCAGTGTGTAAAGAATAATCACAGAAGCAGAATAGGAAGGAACAGAGTTAAATTTAGCCCCCAGACGGGGACATTAGCAGTAAAAAAAGAAACAAGACATTCTCAAACCAGACAATAAAGATGAGCTGAGATTGTTACACTCTGCACTGCAGAACCAGCAAATATGCGATTTTCTGGTGGTAACACTGTTTTTTTTTGTTTGTTTTTTTTTAAGGATCTGACAGGTAGCCAGGACAGAGTGTGTGCAGCAGAGGTCCACAGCCTCATGTCCAAACATTAATAATGAACGACAATCACAGCCCAGGCAGCTCTCTGTGTTCTAACATCATTAAACAGCACTCTGACATAACGCCTTTCCCCTGCGCCCACCACCATATTTATTCCACTTTTATGTCTGTGTGTGTTTGAGCATGTTCCCAGTGAAGACAGAGCAGTGAGAAAATTCAGATTCATGTCTTTATCAGGCTCTAGCGCCGTCCTCCTAATCAGCCAGGTATGCAACTCTCTCTGCTGTCTTTGTGTCTCTGTCTCTTGTGGTCTGTGGTCATGGTCCTATTCATCCACCCCTCCCTGCTGTTTCCCCTCTTTTCTTCTATCTACGATGAGGATAGATATCTGGGTCTCGCTCCACTCCTTCGTAGCATTTTATTATGTTCTAATCTCATCTTCCCCTTGAGATAGCCTCGCTTTATCTCGTCATATAAATCGTTTATACCTCTGTCGTCTCTCCAACCATCCATCAGTCACTCTCCAGCCTCGTAAACATCCTTCTCTTTTCAGGATATCTTGTCAACGATATTCACCCCCATTCTCTCTCTCTATCTTTCCTGTTCTTCCTCACCCTCCTTTTCTCCCTCCGTGCTCTGGCACTGGTGCAGTGTTGCCTTGCAGAGCTGCTAAAAATCAGATCTAGTTATCTAACATAGACACACACACAAAAAAAGAAACGAGGAGAGCTGTTCGCTTGCTGCTTCTCTGGGGCTTGAAGTGGTACTGTAGATAAAGATTTATTTTGGATTATACGTATGCATTCTGAAGTGCAGAGAAAGCATAACTGGTGGTTGTTTTTCATCTCTGGGCACTTTTTTTGTATTTTGAGCCTGAATTTCCTTTTGTTGTGCTGCTGCTAATTGGTCCTCCAGAGGATCCGTTTGTATATGTTGGCAAGATGGATGACCAGGACTAAGTCACTGCACTCTGGAGGAGAGGGGAACCAAAGTGAAAACTGTATTATGTGCCGTTTTCTAGTATCTTAACATCTTGGCTTTATTTGCAAGACCATGCTTGATTGTCTCAGTATATCAATGTAATTATGAATGCTGCAGTTACCTGTGAGAGATTTATCTGAGTGTTTCCTTGTCTGTTTCATTTGTCACTATTCTATTTATTTCATGTTGGTGTCCTGTCTCGCCTTTCTCTCTTGCCTGACTTTTGGCTGCAGCAGTTCTTTTTACTGACAGATTCAGTACAAAGTTCCTAAGGCAAAGCCAAATAGATACCAAATACAGGAGAACACACACACACACACACACAACCCAAACTACATCTAGAATACGGCTTCACTTTCTTCTTCATTTCATGTTTTTCTGTGTGGAAATCAGCATCATGGTTTCTGTTTGAATCACCATAACAGAGTATGATAGGGCTGCAAATGCATCAGTTATTTTCATTATTGACTAAACTCAAATTTCTCGATTAGCTGATTATTTGCTTTGGCTATAAGATGTCCATAAATAATTTTCAAGGGTCGATGGTGTCATTTTCAAATGTCTTGTTTTTTTCCCGCCAACAGTTCAAAACCCAAAGATATTCAGTTTACTCTCATAAGACAAAAAAGAACTTCACATCCAAGAAGCTGGAACCAGTGAATTATTGGCATTTTGCTTTAGAAAAGATTTAAATGAATATCAAAGTTGCTGGTTAATTTTCAGTCCATTTACTAATTGATTAATCGACTAAATCATTTCAGCTTTACAGTATATATAACACAGACATTTAAGAAAATAATCACAGAAGTCGTCTGACAGGTTCTGAATAAAGGCCGCAGCAGCAACACCTATCAAGTGATTTTCACCATTTTACTTTGTGTAATATACCTCTGTCTTTGTTTGCTTTATCTGTCGCTCTCAGCATAATGTGCTAGCCATCCCTGGGATGTGTCCTTAAACCGCTTACAATGAAAAATGATGGTCCACATATATTTTGCTAATGAGGAGATGTCCTTGGAGAATAAACAGGGGAAGAAAGGATGTATATGTGCTGCACTGTGGGGGATGATGGAATGGATTGGGGCCAAGCAGGAGAGAAGAGGAAGCAGTTGCCTCCTTTGTGCTATATTTGGTCTACCAGAAGATGGCTGGTGTGGGAGAGCAGCGCATTGTGTTGTAGATACACACAGGCTCACACATGAATGTGTTCATGAATGCAGACACGTATTCGAATGCACACCTGCACATAACCAGACTGCACAGGCGAAAACAGATGAAAGCAGAAGTATAAAGGGAAACAGCAGATCTATGTATCTAACCTCAGAGTAATGTCAAGCAAGTAATGAAGTTATCAATTCATATATCACAAATAATAATCCAACTACATCCACCTTCGGCTCTCTCCTGACAGGGGTCGGCTGATTCATATACCAGTAGACCGTCGGATTCAGACCTGTCAGCAGAGGAGGACCGCGAGGCGTATCGGCGTGAAGCCGAGCGCCAGGCACAGCTGCAGCTCGACAGAGCTAAGGTAGGTCATACACTGATTCATGCTGCTACATACTGTAGTGTTTCAACAGTTGCATAAGTTAAAATTAGTGAAGGTTAAGTCTGGAGCCGCTTGTGTTCATCTCTTGCTCCAGGGGAACTTTTATATACTATACAGTGATGGAAAATAGCCAAGAACATTTACTCAAGCACTGTACTTAAGTACAGTTTTGAGGTACATGTACTTTACGCGAGTACTTCCATTTTCTGCTACTTTATACTTCTACTCCACTACAATACATTAACTACATTTATATAACAGCTTTAGTTACTTTGCAGATTCAGATTAATAATACAAATTATAATCAATAAATTAATTATGATATTTGTCATAGGTTAAAATAAATCTTTATTGATCCCTGAGGGGAAATTCACAGACTACCCAGCAGTATATAAAGTGATTAAAATTAACAACACATTTACCAGGTGCAACATTTAAGTGTTGTACACATCAATGCATCAATAATTATAATCCCGCATTTTTGAAACAGGGCATTCTGAATTATTTTTGATACTATAAGTATATTTACATGTTAATATTTTTACTTTAGTACATTTTTGAATGTGCGACTTTTACTTACAACTGAGAATTTCTACACTGTGGTATTGCTACTTTTACTTAAGTAAAAGACCCAAGTACCTCTTCCAACACTAGAAATGTGTCTTACCTTCCTACAAGCACATAATCGCTGCGTGAAGAATTACAAATCAAATGCATCATTTAGTCAAACAAAAGAGACCCTAAATCTACAGAATATCTACAGCCAAAATCCTGAATCACACACTGTCCGTACACCCCTGATTATAAGAAAAACTCCCCAAAACTCGCCCTTAGAGTGAATAAAAAACTAAAGACTTATAAGGAGGAACAACTGAGGTACTTATGGACAATTAATATGACAAAATTATAAGTTTCAAACATTAATGAAGAATACGAATATAAATCTCAAGTTGTGGCTGTAAGGTATAGTCCCATATCTAGACCAACAGTCAAGTCCAAGTCTATACTTTTTATTTTAAGCCCTAAACAAGCCATAATGAAAATAGAAACAGCAGCAATGACAGGCTAACTTGACAAATAGCCGACGTTGGACATTGCTGATCAACTAATGACTCCAGTCAAGACTCTGGTGTCTTTAAGTTTATACTGTAGTTTCCATCATTGACCAGTGGTTTTCTTGTTATTGCTTTCTGACGCCGCAGTCCAAACCTGTAGCGTTTGCAGTAAAGACGAATGTGAGTTACTGTGGAGCTCTAGATGAGGACTGTCCTGTCCAAGGAGCTGCAGTCAATTTTGATGCCAAAGACTTCCTGCACATCAAAGAAGTGAGTGAATATCTCCTACCTCCCTACGCCCTCACTTCCCTTAGATTAAAATAAAGAAGATATATGTGACATGGTACTGTTGTTGCACTGAACTTAACAGAAGTACAATAATGACTGGTGGATCGGCCGGCTAGTAAAGGAGGGAGCAGACATCACCTTCATCCCCAGCCCTCTACGACTGGAGGCCATGAGACTCAAACAGGAGCAGAAACAGAGGTCAGTTAATACATTTACTCACAAGCTTCTCTGGGGATCTGTTTCCACAATATAACTGAGAAATTTGTGTTTTGTTGTTGCAGGAAAACAGGGGGTAATTCCTCCAGTTTAGGTGACATGGTGACTGGGAGCTGGAGGACCACACCGCCATCTGCAGGTGAATGTAAGTATTACAAACCTGCCTCTCGTGCTGGAACAGAAACCTACTTCTGCTGTCATCTGTCTTTTTCCCTTTATTGATTGTTATTTTCTTGTTTTCACAAGCCAAACAGAAGCAAAAACAGGTAGGTTTTGGCACCTTATGAGGACACAGCATTTGCCAATAAAACATAGATTTTGATTTTAAGGGATATAATCTGCATGAGAAGTCACTGAATTCAGTTCCCTCAAAAACTTGTATATAAACAAAAATGCAGTCTTTCTTGCTTGCTGTAGACAGTAATGTAAGTTATAACTTTTATGAGGAGACATGAAACATTTTTAAATTACAAGTCAGACTATTGCAGCAGTGAAATGTGCATATAGGAGGCTGATTAATTGTTTAGTTATTATTTATTATTATTAAAACAGGGCAGTTTTAGCAAAAACTTAACTTACATTATTTTTCAATTGGTAAGTCCCAATTGGTAATAAATAACAAAATCACAAAAACCAAACCCAAACCCCATTATTTTTTTCCCCCTGTTCTCTCTGTTCTTCATCCCGCTCCCATCGTCCTCCCCTATTTCTGGCAGGAACACGTCCCGCCCTACGACGTGGTGCCCTCTATGAGGCCGGTGGTCCTCGTGGGACCATCGCTGAAGGGCTATGAGGTCAGCCTCTCCCCATTTCACCTCCAGAAGACAGAACGACTGCCTAACACTGCACCCTTTTTTCTCTTAAAAACTGTCCCTGCATTGCTGCGTCTGTTTGGAGATGCCCCTCTTAATTTACCTTTGGAATGAGAATCAATTTTATTGGCCAACTATGTTTCAAGTTATAGAAAACTTGATTTATTATAGCGTTTCCTCCATATCTGTCTGCAGGAATAGATGTGATGTACATTGCAAAACATTTTAAGTTACAAAAAACATCAAATAACAACTTCAGCTCACCAGTGGTTTTTATGATTTTTCAAGATGCCAGAACAGTATGGGCATTTCATTTAGATGCAAATAAAAATCAACAAAACACCAGGCTCCACCAACAAAGCCTGGTGTTGCAGGTTGCTATGCCAGTACAGAAACATGACTGAGAACGCGTTGCACTTTTCACTATTTTTGCTTGAAAAATAACGTAAGTGCTGAACTGATTTTTAATAATAGCTGAAGATTATTTTTCTGACAATTGACTAATCAAATCAACTAATCCTTTCAGCTCTACATGGCCGTGTAAAAGTAACAGAGGTTTCTCACAGCCACAAACAGTAAATTAGACCACCAAGTTCAAACCAACAAGAAAACTAAACAAACATTTATTTGTGCTGAACATTGATGGTCTCAAGAACCCAAATATCAGTACACAGGTTCTGAAACTACTTCAAAACAGGATCTGCCTTGCACTTAGAGAGACATACAATGCAATACACTGTTGGGCATTACATATGTGCTTCAACAGGTGTACAGTGGTGGACGAAATAATCAGAGCCTTTACTGAATTAAAAGCACCATTACCATGGGGTAAAAATACTCCATTAAAAGTAAAAGTCTGGCATTTAATGTAAGTAAAAGTAAGCAGCATTTGACTGTTGTTGGTTTAAGTGCAGATACTTTAACTGTACTATGTAGGGCTGTAAGTAATCATTTTTTCATCAAAACTTATTCAAAATAAATGAAAATGATTCAAATTAATTAAATATAAATGCACCAAACCACATTTGAGAAAAAGAACTTAACTATTATCAAATGAAAAGCCGATTAATTTTCTGTTAATCACTCATTTCAACTCAACTTGTATATACTGCTGGGTAGCTTAATCTATAACTAAGCCTCATATTTCACAATGCTTTATGTTTTGTATGCATATAATATATTACTTGTAACTACAGATAAATAATCGAATAATTGCAGTGGTGTAAAAAGTAGGAATATTTCCCTTTGAACTGTAGTGGAGTACAAGTATAAAGTAGCATGAAAAAAACAACGCACAAATTCATTCATTCTTCATTCTACCACTGCAGCTATAACAGTAAAACACCTAAAATATATGTATCACTGTCATTTCACAATTAATTAGGAGAAAAAAAAACTCACCCATTGATGAACTCCAACTTGTTTTGCTTCCACTTCTGCTTGAAATTCGCGCTGCCCACAAACGTCCACTCTGTCACTTGAGAAATGGAAGATGCTCCAATGTCCATGTGATGTTCCTGTACTGTCCAACACGTCACAGCAGAGGAGCAGTCTCCTCCTGATGACTGTTGCTCACACATCAGAGGTGGAGCAGGTGGAGCAGTGATTCCAGATTAGACCTGTTTGTCTGCGTTTCCCCTCAACATTGATAAACGAAGCCCCAACTGCAACCCATTGGCTGAATGTAAAGATGGCCGTAGTTTTTGGACATGCTACACCGTAGCCATCTAGGCAGCGCCCGACTCCGTCTAACCGGTAAACCAGACAATCCAAAAATTGAGAAAGAAGTGGAGCGTGTGTGGAGCCGAGACTTCGGTGCATGCAGGGGTTCAACAAATGTGGGAAGCACATGCTCCTGTTAGCATCGGTAGTAGAGCTGGGCGTCTTGTTCGAAGGCTAACTCAAGGCTAATTCATTTGCCGGCTAATTAGCTAAGCTAACAAGCCAGATATGGTGAGTGCAGATACCGACACCTGCTAATTAGTGCTAACGTGTAAATAAAAGACTAGAATTGTACTCATCTCAAAAAACAGGAGTACAGACTTCCGCGCGTTCTGTTAGTCAATCAACTGCACAGCAAGTTATATTATTTGTGGAATATTTTCATGTGAAATACTCCAAAATGCACCAACACCACAATGACGGGCGAGCGGGCACGTGAATGAAGTAGCTAGAGTGAAGTTTAACGGCTAGAGGCCAAGCAGCCTCGCTAACTGCACGCACCTGTCATGGCCACGCCCTCAATCATGCATAACTTTGCGTCTTAATACAATTTAAAAGTGAGTTCAACCCCCATAAAGTTGTTGTGAAGGGGGACAGTAGCTATAGGGATCCAAAACTTTTTTGTACCAGACTGTAAACATGTTTATTTCTGATGTAAAACTGGGTATTTTATGGCGATTGACTCCCCTCACTTGACCTGTAATCCCGAGTTGGAGATACGGGGAATTTCTAACAATCACAATATCTCCCACTTAGAGAAAGGGACTACAGACATGTCAAGAAATTTCTTGAAGTGACCTGCTTCAAATACTTAACAACAAAAGCACTGGACAAAGGCTGTTAGATGGTGGAACAACAATCTTAGATCAAATTAGAACAAATAACTAATCAACAAATACATTTTGATGTATTCTTACAGTTTAAGATAAGACTTTATTGATCCCTTCATTGATTTACAAACCACCCACCAGTATATAAGGTAATTAATATGAGCCCACCACCATTTCAAACTGCATTAAAGTGATGTGCACATCAGTAATTATTATCCAATAATTTCCATTATTCTGAAATTGGCTTTTCTGCATAATGAGTAATTTGAAAATCATTACTTTGAAAATCATTTTAAATACATTAAAAGTTTGTAAGATTTTACCTTTGAAATAATTATAATCATTAAATACATTGGTAACAATTAAATTAATGGTTTCCAACTATTTTGACGTGTGGCAAGTTAGCTACAAGTGTCTATCTGGAGCCCAGTGTTACAGAAATAGGCAGTATTTCCCTTCTGAAAGTCTCAGCATGTTTTATTTAAATAACTGTAATTAACCAAAATTCAAACAATTCAAGATCTCTCTTCTCCCATGAACCATCTTTGGAAAGGTTGATCCCTTGGTTGTAACTATTTATTCATCAGTCATCTCACCTGCTGATCACCTGTTCACCTGCTCACCCTGTGACTAAAAGTCTCAAGGTTGCACCTGCTTAACATTTGACATAACTGGAAGTAAACCAACTAACTCTCTGACATTAAACCAAAGTATAAAATTATTTCTTTAATTTTATATTGTGTATTTGAAGGTATGTGCTCTGTCTTTTTATAACAATCAGTTTCTTATCCTCCCACTAGGTGACGGATATGATGCAGAAAGCTCTTTTTGACTTCCTGAAACACAGATTTGAGGGACGGTTAGTAAAAAGGAGAGATCAATAAATTCAGGCTTTTAATTAATCTGATCAAAAATGTTCCCCTGAATATTTTTCTCTGTGTTTTTTGTGACTGTTTGCAGAATCTCAATCACCCGTGTAACTGCCGATCTGTCTTTAGCCAAGAGATCTGTCCTCAACAAAAGACCCATAATGGAGAGATCCAATACTCGCTCCAGTCTAGGTAATGTCAGTAGGCTTGGGCAGTATCTATGCTTGACATCTTAATATCTTCTAACATTTAACAGGGGCATACAGTACCGTTAGATAAGTTCCCTGTTGTAGCTAGTTGTAATTAGTTTTCCATTATCTTTTCCATCAGTAAAGGCAAACTTGAAACTTAAATGTCTCTCATAACTTTATTGCAGAATGTTGTTCCCATGTATTAAATACCAGTAACACAAAATAAAAATAGCTTGACAGAATTGACACACTGTTCAGTTAAAGGTCATCTTAATATAAGTAGAAGGCCTGTTGCCTGATTGGTTAGCCCTATTCTTCCTTCTTCAGCTTTGGCTGAAAAAGATAGAAAAATAGGCCTATACAAATAAAAGAAATGCTGAATAATTATTTATTCTAATTAAATCCTATTTTAATCTTTAGTCTGCAAGTATAAACCAGCCAAAAAGTAATGGATCATCCGTTGGTTTAGCACATAAAGGTTTAGTGGATTTAATCATCCAGGTTTTTTGGAAAGACGACAAGTATATTTCCTTTGTGTGGCTTTGGTTGCAGCATTTAGCATTGTGGGGTGACTGTGCTCTCCGCTGTGCTAAAGTACTTACGGTCCACCCTAGACAAGAATGGTCTGATGTGTTACCTGCTTTTGCCACAACTGTCCTGTAGCAAATAATCCAATCAGCTTCATCTGTGTTGGCCTGTATCATCAGATCTGAACTCAAAATGTTCCCAGACAAGGAGTCCTGTATCCCCACCAGTATCTTTCTCGGCTCGTATTTCGCCAGCTGTAATGATTCATGGCTGGTGGGCCGTGTTGAACACTACAATACATCAGGTTAATATAGCATCACTATTTGAGTTTAATAGAAAAAAAAAAGTTGTTTATGTTTTTGACAGTTTTGACAGTCATACCTTTGGGATCTCTAAATACCATACACTGCCCAAGTCTAAATCTCAACATCAAAACTCCACAGGTCTTTGTTCTTGAAAAGCAATGAGCTTGAATTTACGCAATGTGTCGTCTCTGTGCAGCGGAGGTTCAGAGTGAGATTGAGAGGATATTTGAACTTGCCAAAACCCTGCAGCTGGTGGTTCTGGACGCGGACACCATCAACCATCCTGCGCAGCTCGCCAAAACCTCCCTCGCACCCATCATTGTCTATGTTAAAGTTTCCTCACCAAAGGTACAGTAGGTTGCCTCACTCATGATATCGGATTCAGGCAGCCTCATCTACCTTGATCTGTAACGCTATCTTTACTGTTCTCGCAGGTGCTCCAGAGGCTGATCAAATCCAGGGGGAAGTCTCAGAGCAAGCACCTGAATGTGCAGATGATGGCTGCAGACAAACTCTCTCAGTGCCCCCCTGTGAGTGGAAGGAGCGAGTTGATTTCTTTTTACTGATATAGAAGATGTTCAGTCCTAATCAATCTGTACAATCTGAACATTTTATACACACGAGTCATATTTACAAGGTGAAAACAAGGAAGTAAAACCTTGATCATAAACTTTATTGGTGTTTAATATTAGGTGTTTGTACTTGAGTACCATCATTACTCCCCAAAGCCTAAGTTAACTCATTCAAATTACTTTTTTTTTTTCAACAGTCAAAAACCCAAAGATATTGGATTTAATATCATAGCAATCCGTCACCAAAATTGTTGCCAATTAATTTCTGCTAATTGACTAATCAAGGACTCTAGTGTAGTGGTTGGTTTCTATGTCTGCGGAAATGATAAAACTGCCACGTTTAGCGGGGGGGGGTCAATAGGGGCCCGGCAACAAGTGTCTGCCCATGGACACTGTAAGAGGATTCACAGACCAGCTAGCACGGCTGTAGACTCTCAGGCTTGTTTATGTGTTTCTTGTTGTTTACTTGTAGGATATGTTTGATGTCATTTTGGATGAGAACCAGCTGGAAGATGCTTGTGAGCATTTGGCTGAATACCTGGAAATCTACTGGCGTGCCACTCACCTCCCAGGAAATACCCCTCTTAATCCCTTATTGGAGCAGAGTCTGATGACCCCGCCTTCTGCCATCTCTAGCCTACAGGTGAGTCATCCATTCTGTAAAAGCAAGAGAGCACGTTTAATACTGTGTCAATACAGTTTAAGACTCTAAAGTAGGAATCTTGTTTTGAACATGTTGTCACTGTCCTTACCAGCTCTTCCCATCTCAGATTCTCACTCCTATGTTTTTATTTAATTGTCTCCGGTTGTCTTGTCTGTCCTCTCACTCATCCATGCTTAACATTTTTGCAGTTTTCTGAAACACAGGAATTAATTGAATGATCGCTTACAAAATGGGGTGAGTAGTAGGGTTTATATATATATATTTGCACTCTGAACCCCAACAGTCCCCTCTTACACACCTACCAACACCAGAACACGACCCAGCGGCTGAGACAGCGAATGAACAGCATTTTATTCATTCAGATCTCACCACAGAAAAGATGGCGCGTGTTTCTTTCTTGCATCCTGCCTCCTTTCCTTTAGTTGATGGTCTCAGGTGAATCAACGCTGCTCCACAAGCTTTCTGGGAGAAAATTCACAAAGCAGTTTAGCTCAGGCTTCAATTTAATATCATAATTGAGAACATCATGTTTGGAATTGTAAAACGTTTGTGTGAAATGTCAAAGTCTCACCATTGTTCTCTATTTTCTGTCTATTTCCATTTCCAAGCATGCTTTGTGAATGCCCCCCCCACTCACAGTGGTGCATAATGCTATCTTGAATGACAGCGCTAATTGAAGGCATATGATCAATGCTTAAATAATATAATATATTCACCGGAAATAACTGCAAATTAACACAACAATAAACTGAGACCATAACACCCGTACAATAACATTTTATCTCCAAGAGTAACCCCCTGACCATCCATTCAAGTGTTTCACTTGCATTTCTTTTGTTCAGTGTCTGTATTAATCTATATACACAAAGATAAAACACTGTAAACACTTTACGAAAAAAGGACTTTGAAGAGACTTTACCGACACTGCAAACACTGCTGCATGCTGATCAGTAACTTTGTCAACAATAGGGTATTGTTGTCGCAGTATTAGTCACAAATGTGTGTGCAGAGTTGTTCTCAGATTTCTAAAAGTTTGGGCAAATTACATATTTTACTTCTTTCACTTCAAAAATCAACAAAATATGTAATGTGCCCAAAATTATGTAAATTACAGCAGTCCTGTGCACATCCACAAATCCTCAGTGGGATAGGTGATATATACAAAAAAATAAATAACATTGCAATACAAGTAATATCAGCACTCTGGAATCAGATCTCCCTTTAATTTTATCAGTGTTGCTTTGTTATGCTATTAGATTTATGACTAGGTGGTGATTGTCAGACCTCATTTAGAGCTGACAAATGCTGCTAATTGGCATCACAAGTGACATTTAGTTGCAGTGTTTGTAATTATCACAGCTATGTAAGAGTTAAAAGATGTATTTTCACTTCTTTTTTTTTTAACAATTCTGACATGCCCATATCGAGGTTGAATCAGTTGCTGGTCTCTGAACAACATGCACAGAATGAGGACTGTGCATGTTGTCTCCTCTATCTTACATTGCTAACATGTTAGGAAGGAGTGTCTTTGCAGCCAGTGTGGACAGGAGGAACAATTTCAGCAACCAATAACTTTTTCAATGCACATTTGGGCATATGAGTGTTGTTTCAAGATAGACTTGAACCTTTCCTTCGAAATCCTTCTTGATGCAGTGTTTGCTTTGTTTTGTCCACCCTCTGTGTGTTTGTGGCAGAACAACTGTCTGTGCGGATAGAAAAAAAAGTTTGCAGAAAATGTGAAGCTACTTTGAGATGTCGTGCTGGTTTCAGAGCTTTCTTTTGACTCGTGTTTTTTTTTTTTTACTCTCCATGGTTATTCAAATCCTCCAGAACAAGAACCAGCCGCAGCCTCATGAGGCGGGGGGCTTGGAGGGTGACGAGGAGGAAGAGGCGGGCGAGGAGGCCCACTCCCCCTTGGAGCAGGACAGTCTTATGCCGTCCGACGAGGCCAGTGACTCCCTGTCTCGCGGCCAGAGGGGGAGTCCATGCCACAGGGGGGGTGAGGAGGACGAGGAGGAGGAGGAGGAAGAAGAAGAGGAAGAAGAGGAAGAGGAGGAGGATGAGTATGCCTCCCCCTGCCATGCTCGCACATACAGGGACATGTACCCCCCTCACCGTGGGCACACAGGCAGTGCCCACAGTGCCAACGGGCATGAGTCACAAGACAGGCTGCTCCAACGCGAAGCTCAGCAAGGTCACAACCAGAGGAACAACCGCCAGCGCAGCCGCCCCTGGCCCCGAGACAACTACTGAGGAACAAGGCCCCCCCCCACACCTCCCCTCAGCCTCCAGATCAGTATCAAGATCACCCCAAGCCCTCCGACTGTCGAACTGTCCCAAACACAACGTTTAGAGATGAAAAAACATTCCCAAAATCAGCTCCAGACTTTTAGCATCAATCAGACACAGATGTCCAGTTTATTAAGCAGACGACTGTATGTATTTAATTTTTACAATCTCTCTCTTCCAGACTCCCAGTTTTAATTTATTTAAACCAAGGGGATGTAATGACCTCTCCAGGGTCAAGTCATTCAGATAAAAGTCAACAGGGCTACTCACCTCTGCAATGGAAAGGTTTCAGGCTACCAGCTGTACGCAAACTCAAACTTTAGCTGCTTTGCCTAAGGTTTCTCTATTGTAGGATGTCTCATATACTGGCCTTAAAATTCCTAAGACTTTTAACTATCTTTACTATTGCATGTACGAGTATAATTATTTTAAGACTATTTGCACATTAACGTCAGAACAGGAACTGAATGATCTTTATAGATAAACTAATGTAGGAATGTCTACTGTTGAATCAATTTATGGGGATTAGTAATGCATTTGATTACAATGTATATACTGAATGGGCACCTGGTTTTGTTTCATTGCTACTTTATTTATTGATTTGTTTGATTATGTTAATATGGACTTGTTTGCAGTTTCAGAGAGATGTTGCAATCCGTGTGTTGTCAGTTTTTACTCTGAAGACGGTGAATGGCGTTTGGGAGACACGCATACAGTTTATCATTCTGTAAACGCTCACAATGTAAGTATGAAGCTGCAGTACAGCGTCAGTGTCACTTGTCTTTGCTGTTGCACAATCACTCTTTGAACACCACTGAAAAGCTAAAAAAAAAAAAAAAAAAAAAAAAACGGGCACAGAGAATGTAAACACAACTAAGAAAGGGAATGTTATCTTTTAAAGGGTGAATTATTTGCCAAACTGCTTGTTTACATCGAGTCATTCACATATTTCAAGCACATGCAATGTCTACTGTTGAATCAATTTATGGGGATTAGTAATGCATTTGATTACAATGTATATACTGAATGGGCACCTGGTTTTTTTCATTGCTACTTTATTTATTGATTTGTTTGATTATGTTAATATGGACTTGTTTGCAGTTTCAGAGAGATGTTGCAATCCGTGTGTTTCAGTTTTTACTCTGAAGACGGTGAATGGCGTTTGGGAGACACGCATACAGTTTATCATTCTGTAAACGCTCACAATGTAAGTATGAAGCTGCAGTACAGCGTCAGTGTCACTTGTCTTTGCTGTTGCACAATCACTCTTTTGAACACACTGAAAAGCTAG